AACGACCAAATAATTGGATGGTCTTTTCGCCTTGGTATGGGACACTACGGATGGTTGAGAGGCCCTATTAATCATCTTTGAAGAGAACAAAGATCAGAGTATGTAGCGAATACAACTCATCGCATCATACATTTCTTGAACATATGATGATTGCTCCTCGTAGAATTTGTCCCTAGAAGGGGAGAAAATGTCACAGACATACTCATATAAGCTAGTAATTACATATATAAATAAGTAGAAGTAAGTAAAAGAAGATAAAAGTAAGTTAATTCTATAGTATTTAGTATGAAAGCTTCCTAGAAGCTTCATAGATGCTGCTTTGACTTCATAGGTGTCTTTAATTGACTTTTTGGATTAGAAACGTAGTCAATAAGTTGGCCATGTGCCACACATGTTGTTAGCTTGAAGACCAAGCTAACTATATAGCCCACATGTAGAATAACTTGTCTTGTAAGTCAAGGCAAGTGTCCTACAAGGTCAACACATATTGGAGGTCGTATAGAACGTCACCACGTAGCCCTTAATTAGATAGTATATATAGAGACAAGAGTGAAGCCTTCTTCACTCTTGTCAATTCCTTTCTTATTTCCAGTCTAGTTTTAAGAGTCGTCATGTTTTCTAGTCTTTGGCAATAGCTATTTTAGTTTAATATATTATCACCTTTGAGTGATTTCTAAGTATTTTCAAGTGATACAAGAGTGTTTTGAGATTATCTTTCTTTGGAGTTCATGTCCTTGATACTTTATCTCTTTGTCTTATAACTAAGATTTCTTAGTATATAAATAATATTAGTATCAAAATATAATAATTATTATAATAGACTAAAAATAATTAAATATAAATACTTATTGTAATAAATCTTATTTAATGATTTTAATCATTTTAAAAAATATAGTTAATCTCAATATATTATATTTGATATAAATCATAAAAAATTAATATCACATTTGAAATAAAACTAAAATATCTTAATTTTTAATATTTTAAAGAAAATTTTAAATTTTAAATAATTAATAACATATTTTTAATTTTTTTTAAAGAATCTTTTGATTTTATTATAATTAAATCAAAAAGTTTTAAAAGAAAGTTAAATTTATGAAATTTTAAAAAATCTCTTAATTTCTTAATATTTTAAAATGATATTTAAACTTATAAATTGTAATCTTTTATTAGTATATTTCAATACACTTTTGTACTTATTTTATTTGCAATAATTTTATTTTATTATTATTTTTATTATTTTTTTTCAAGAGAACCAATTTATATTCGAAATATTTATACCACATATTGGTATAATTTAACCAAGTTTGAAATAATATCTATAATATTGAATGATGTAAATAAATATCCCATTATCTATTGATTTACTTATTTTTTTAAAAAAAATAAAAAATAAATAAAAAGAAAAGATCTGATTTTATCAAATTATCATAGATAAAATAATTTTTTATTTTAAAAGAATTATTGGAAAATTTAGACCTCAAATAGTTGTATAAATGAAAACATGATTGGCCAAATGGAAGTTAAAATAGATGTATGGACCTTTAAAAGAATAAAATAACACATAAAAAATCCTCTAGCTTTAATATAAGATTAATGAATACAAACCATATTTTTTTTTTAAATAAATACAATGTTTTAAATGTTTTTAAAAATTAATAACTTAATAAAAAATTACATAGCTAAGACATAACTAACATTTAAAACTGCAGATTTGAATGAAAAAATAAAGAAAATTTATTTTCTTACGTATTGATATTAAATTATATAATTTAATAAAACATATTGATATTAAATTATGTACCATATTAAAATTTAATATTAATATGTTAAATTCTTGTTTTATAAGAATATTTGATCAATCAAACATGAAATATGAAATTAAAGAATTTTGCATCCAAAAAATTCTATACTAATAAAAAGTAACACAAAATTTGAATTTATTTTTGAAAGTATTATTTAGATTATGCTGTTTCTTTAATGAATAATATTTTTTGCTCTAAAGATATTTTTTTTTTATTAATTGTATAATTTTTATATAATATAACTCTAATTCTAAAAGTAATAGGTAAAATACCATATTTATTTCATCATAAGATGGTAGATGATTATTTTAACAAAGTAGCATCTACAATATCTCCAAAGAAAACTAACAAATCTCAATTGATGTGTGGCCATTTACCTCATCAATCTAGTCATGGATTTGCAATTGATACAATTAATATAATTTCAAGAAGCAAGCACCAATACAATGCTTAAAAATTCACTATAGTCAACTATTTTAACCATTCCAACCATTCTAATTAAGTCCCTCATAAATATTGCAATAGACAAAAAGTCCATTCAAGTATATTAAAAACAATTGATACAAAATAAGGACATTATAAATTATTCAATCAAACATGATAATACAAACATGGTCAAAGAATTGGACTTTTTCTAAAATTATAAAGAATTATTTTAAGCCAAAAAAAATATACTATATAAATATAATATAATATAATTATAATTATTATTACTATTATTATTATTATATATAAATAATAATTTTAGAAATTTTAATTCAGATACATTAATTTTTTAATAAATAATTTAATTTTTAAATTAAAAAAATAATTATCTATTTTTATTAAAATTAAAATCAAATCTAATTGTTCTATAATAATTACACCATATATAACAAGCAAAAAAATTTATGTAAAACATATAGAATTGAAACATAATCAAATATAAAGAAATTTAGTTGAATTAATCAAAATAATAAAATTTCTTAAATCTCTCACCATAAATTAAATTTTTGTATTTACTAGAGTATAAATAAGACTTTGATCAAATAGTAGAAGATTTAATTTTAAATCTTATTATAAAATTTTATAGTAAAATATAATCAAAAATTCAAAACAATCTTAAGTAAAGATATGAATAAGAATGTGTGCCATAATTAATAAAAAAATATCGAATTCAACAAACAAAAAAATCATCAAATTTTATATTAATTGTATAAGATGATATATATAAAGGATTTAATAAACAATATTTTTTCTTTATTTTTGCTCAATCAAAAGATATAACAAAGTATAATTTATTTTGTTGAGTAAAAAATACTATTTCAAAATATAAAAAAATTAACAAGCAAAAACATTTATGAGAAAGAAACTTTACTTAAAAGGAATAGTTTAAATAGAATCTATAAAGTATCAACCTTCTAAATACTATTAATTTATAATTTTTATATTATCTAATAAAGATATCATATGATAAAGAGTATTAATTGAATCATAATTCATATTTAGGTATTGTTATGAAGAGCGTATACATACCACTTCATTACAGAAATTATTCCAGAAATTTAATTTTTTATGGTTTTATTAACAAAAATTTATTGTTGTAAAACAAAACATCTTAGTTATATATAGAGAAATATAGAAAGTAAAAATTAAAAAAATAAATACTATTGTATAATAAATTAATTCATACATATTTGTAGTATCTCTGAAAGATAAATTTTGTGGATTTTTTATTTTAAAAAATATTATATTATGTTATACAATTAAGTAATTAAAAAATAAAAAATAATTTATTTAAGATATTTCAACAAAACTAGAATTTGAACATTAAAGGTGCATTTTAGATATATAAAATAAGAGAATTGTTAATGCTACATCTCCAATTAATATTGCTATATCCCACCTAACCTCCTTGTAGACAACTAGCTAATAACATGTTTTTTCTTCTTTTGTGCATTTTTTCCTTCTTTTGCTTCAAGAAAGAGTGGTGGTTGACAAGAAGACAATGAATGTTTTATCAAAAAATAAGTTGCAAGTTTTCTTTTTAAAAAACGAAATATTTGCTTCAAAAAATTTTACTTATTTTTTAATATATATTTGGCAACTACATATATATATATATATATATATATATATTTTTTTTTAAAAAAAATCAGATTTATTTTTTTTTTCAGTCAATATTGGAGTTAAATATTGGACTACCAAATGGTCCTTAAGCATAGAAGTGCACTTTTTAGTCAATTTAAGTTGTGTGAAGATTACTTGGGGTGTAACAATACCAATTGGAAATGAAGCATTAAAAAATATCTAAAATAAATAATTACACAGATATTCTTTTACTTAAAACATAAATTTAAACATTGAAGGTAATACAATATTAAAAGATACATAGGACAACTTACAAAGAAAATTTCCAAAACTTGAAGGTCTAAATGAATTTCAAATACAACAATACATAGCACAAAAGTTGTATAATATATGTATAAAAATTAAGAATATTTTAATTAAGTTATTTGATTTAAAAAATTAAAAAGATGATTAATTATAGCAAATAGATATGTATGTTATTTTAATTGAATCAATATTTTATTGTAGAAAAAACTTTTCTCAATAGAAACTTTTTCCAAGAGAAAATATATTAGAAACTTAGTACATTTTATTTATTTATTTATTTATTTTTTTACTATTTGATAAAAATACAATTAAAAAAAAATTAAATCATTTTTACAAGACAGTTTTGTCAAAGATTATCTTGACGAAATATATATATATATATATATATATATATATATATATATATCGTTAAATTACTTTACTTTTTGTTATGAATTATCATGAACTCCTTACCCAATTGTTTTAAGTCTTTGTACTTGCTTTCATCAAATACGAGATAGATATTTTTTTCGTTACCCAACATGAATGGCTATTGGAACATTGCAGACAAGAGTCCTCCCCACAAGCATGATGAGGGCTATTGCACAATCTCAACATCGGCATTAAAAATTAGATCTTCATGACCATCATTACCTTAGAGCACTTCCCACGCAATCTGCATCCGTATGGGAGTGCGAAAGCCAACAACATTCTCCATTACCTTATGAAGGCTACTGACATGTGGAGCAACCAAACGAGATCGACAAATTACTCATGTTTTTAATGGCTAAATATTCAAGTTCGTATAACACAGAGATCAATCACATGGGAGTTTTATCATACACAAAATACTCTTAAATTGTGCGTATTGAACGTGGACGGTAATCCACATAGGAAAACTTCCAAGTACTCAAAAATAATGGCTTTGTCTAATTAAATTGAATTTGTCATATTTCTGTTTGCCTTGAAAGCAGATTCAAGACAGAAAAACGCCAGATGGTCCTGTGAGTTGACTGGCCAACACTGTCAATATCTCAAATTTTGCTCAGCTCAGATTCAAATTCCTCACACATCTTCACGTAATCCTCCAAATAGGTCCTTGCCCATTCCTACACATTTCCATCAGGCCGCACAACTTACATAATGGGTACTTGAACTTAGTACTTAGTAGCCTATATACACAGATAGATACGCAGAAGTTACCCACATTTCGTCATGATAGTTGCTTCAAAATCATGGCGCTGCATCAATGCTGTTACTAATATTACTAAAACCTACATATTTTGCTAGAAACAATTTGAGATGATTGGCTCTCCACACCTGCAGAACAGCATCTTGTAAGCGTAGAATAATCGATATAGAGAGGTACTGGTGAAATATAAACGTTGGTTCACGATTATCTAAAACACCTGCGCTAAAACTTCGGGTGCTGAAAACTAAATCGATGACATGAGAGCCCGTGTCTGGAATAGAAACTATCTCAGCCCCATTCGAAGACCTTAAGAAAGACGTAGAAGAAACACAATTCATGAATTTGCAATGTTCATCATGTTGATACCGCAACTTAAGAGCTTCTAAAAGATTGAAGAAAGGCGTTGACATGAATATTATGAGAATGTAACTACCTCATATTCCCAGTCTCCTACAAGATCAGGATCTCCCTGGTCGGCCCAAATGTACATATATGCTGTCACCTCCGTCGTAAGTCCAAGTCCAGCCGCGTGACCTGGGGATATTTCAACAGCATCGTCTCCAATTTCCACGGTATCTGCCTGGCTAGTCCCTACTTTCTCCAAACACCTGGAGCCTATCAATTCCTGTGCATCGCCAACTTGTGTACCGACCACTGGTTCTCCATCAGCACCAAGCGTATTCTGTTGCAACGTCACGGAAATCATATTATGCTGTAACCACATGTAGAGTTTATGTCTGTCGTCACATCTATCCCTTTCAATCAAAATTACTTTAGTTTGGCCGTGATTAATGAAAACGGCATCAGACGAGGTTCAAGTACAATCAGCAGATTGTGTTAAACAAATTCATGATCGCTGGATCTAAAAGCTTCTGCTTAGTAGCACAATATTCTCAAATCACTTGCAAATTTCAAGGTAAATCTGCAGGTTCCTCCGAAATACCAGAATGCGTGGCGATACTATCAATCTGGTATATTCAATATCTTCAAATTCGTCCAGAATATGTAGCTCCTGGTCGCTCAGATCGAACAATACCTGTTACAATACTCTAAGTCAGTAACTCTATTGTCACTACATGCCAGGTCAGGGAACACGTGACACCAATTTCGCATTAGGTTCGGCCAAGTTCAGTAAGGAATCTCAAATCCGCGACACAATACTTACTAAAAATACTGTATTACCAAATTACGTTATCTTATGAAAGAATCTCGAACACACAAACACTCCACTAGAAGATTAGAACAGCTAGTAAACTATTAGTTATTTTAGAATCAAGAAATGTTTCTGAACGTTCAGAAAAGAGACATGTACACGTACTCTAAACATCCAAGAAGGGGGAGTTTGAGAAAGAAAAGCAGCCTGCACAAAATTATTACTTTACCATCCACATAAACTAGTAACAAATGTGAATACAAAACAGATAATCGCTAAGGAGACACCTTTCCAAATACTTTGTCACCTTTGCTGGGCAATACGGCCGGATAGATGCGGTTCTTGATGCTGAACCGATGGCTGCCACCAATTTCGGACCCAAGAATACTGTCAAGTACTGAAATGAAATATATTTCACCACTTAACAAAAGGTCGAAATATTGAGAAGCAATAAGATGTCTATCCTAGCATCCTGACAAAAGGGTGGAGCCAACAACTTTTACATAAGTTGGCAACCTAGATGAACACCGAGATATTGCAGCAATAATTCAAGTGACAAACTACGGCCGCCATTGAAGCACAGCATTCGCCCTTGAAATTCCCTAATCTTTTGTTGGGGTACCAAAACCTCCTAATATGGATTGTAGCGCTTTAATCAAGAAGAAGATGATTTCTAGCTGCGAATGCAGACAACCAGTAAAGGAATTGCAAGATTGGAAACGCAGTCGAAACTACGACCGAAATGGAGTATAACAGGCAGTAGTCTCCTAACTAAGACATCCAAGAATAATTACGAGACAATTGCACTTTATATGATCCAGAAAATTGCCACAACGATTAACTTGCCATAAGACAGAAAATAAAAAAATAAAAAATAATAATAACTAGGACTCACTAGTCATGTACGACAGCAAGTGATGCAGGCGGAACTCGGTGCAAGAGCGCGGTAAGCACTTCGGGCGCGAGCAATGATCCATACACAAACACATTGCGGACCACAGTCGCAGCCATGAAGGACTACCCTGCAAGTCTGACACAAAAACGTCGACGAAAAAGCTAAAACTCAAACAGCCTTGAAATTTGACCATAAAAAAATTCCTGCAAACTGCCGGACGCTACCACAACATCGCAAAATTCTGAACGAAGGATGTTCTAGCACAGCTGATCACAGATACGTAGAAACCTACGCCATAGAAACCTTCAAAAATTTCCAAAAAAACAGGAGACGGGGCGAGCCACAACACCAGAAGAAAACGTGATACAAATAGGAATGCAACAGAGCATAGAATGTATACGAAGAAAACGATAATGGACCTACCGTTTAGATTCCCTTCATCCTATCATTTCATCCAGTTACTATTTATCCCTCTTTCCTTCATCACCAGAAGCTCCCTTTCTCAAAGGGATAATTCAAATAATATGGGTAACAGAATTGAAAAATATAAAAGCTATTGATGTTGCTTGAATAAAGAGACTCATGGTGAGTGATTGAATTAGCTTCTGGATTCGACTTGAAATGTGCGTTTGATTGAAGAATGGAGGCAATTTGTGACCATGAGTCGTTGATTTGATAAAATTGAGAGAAGAAATGTTAACTAAAACATTTTAATTGAATGCCACATGTGCCATTTGTTAAGATTGGATTTTTTATTGCTCAGAACAGATGTAATTAAAACTCATCTATAACTAATTCAAATTTAATGAAAAGTTTCGGCAGAATAGGAAAATAACATAGATTGATTGAATATACTATTTCCATAGAGAGTAACAGTGTCAGATTTTGATGTACGGATTCCCAGTTTCCTCTTTTCCATCTGACGTTGAAAAATTTTCATCTTGAAAATGTTGTCTGCTTTAGGACTCAAGTCACTGACGAGGAAAATCTATTGGTCCAATAACGGCCTGGTTGTGCGATGTTACCAGGGATCAGAATTTCGCCTTTAAGGGCGTTTCTGCAGCTAGAATGGGTCAGATTCATCTTTGGAAATTACGGAAGATGATCTGTGAGAAGAAGGAGATCAAGTAGAAATTAAACTGACATGTGCACGACGCAAACCTTGTCATTTCTCCACGCACCTCAGCAGTACACGTAGGTTTCACTGTCTACGCAATTTAAATGAAACAGGAGTTGGAAGATATGGGTTGAGAGTGGATACGTGTACATTGAGAGGGTTTTGAGAGGTTGCGACAGGCATGTTCAAGACGACTAGTGGAAAAAGATGAACTCAGTCGACGTTGTTTACTGATACGTGAATGAGTATGAAACAAAAATGTAAAAATTGTACAACCAGAAGGTGATAACACTTCGGTACTCCTCACAGTACTTAAGCTACATTCACCTCTACGTAGGGTATGGTTTCATTTCAGAAACAGGGAAGTTATGCACTTCCGGTGAAACATCAAAAGGTCAGATAATATTACACTCTCAAAGCCCATCGGATCTGTCACAGCCTTGTGACTATCTTCATGTGAGACTCTCAAAAGCAGGGAGAATGACTACGTCTTGTTTCCATCTCAAGTGCACGATACTACCGCATCATTATCCTCCTTTGCGTGACAGGTGTTTCTTGACCGCATGAACGAGATGATCTTACATCTGTTCTTGGCGTTTTTAGATTAAATTTGGGAGACACAGGCCTGGTCGGTTCCTTGTTCGACCTGAGGAAGTGAGATTGCAAGGGTCTGCTTAGGATCAAACCTACAGAAGGAGTTCACACACAGATCGTTCAATTCGGAAAAACCTGCTCTAGCTGAAACTAAGGTTAATGCAGCTTACCTTTGTGGGACAAATGGTCTATCGAACTTGGGTACGGGTCGGGCAACCACAACCATTTCTCTGCGCATTGCTTTAATGAACTTCTCTTCTTCAGCCTGCACGGAGTGAGGTGGTTTACTCAGTATTGGGTGTAAAAGCTGAGAAATGAGCACCTCAAACCAAAAAAAGATTGCACTGCTACTACAACAAACGCGGTTCTCTTCGTACCTTCCTAGCAGCCTCATATTCCTCACGGTAGTGTTTGTACATCTCCTGCTTCTCTGCCACCTGCAACACTTGCCAGGCATGCTTAGAAGCTTTCTCTATAATACGGGGGCAGCAATAGTAGCAACGAATGTACAGAGTCAGCGAGATCACTCTGTCAGGAACTGACACGTTCGTAAGATTTCTACAGACAACGGACTTTGCGAAGAAGTCTATTGCGAGAGGCGTTAAGATAGAAAACATAACGGAAGTGGACATTGGACATCTAATAGACTCTGTGACGCTCGATGTGGAGAGTGTGCGATGGTAAGTACGGGTACCTTTTTGTCGAATTCAGCACGTTCAACTGCTCGAGTATCGACGTTGAACTTAAATTCGTAAATCTCCGTTAAAGGCTTGTTGGATCTGATTGGCATGAAGACTGGGGCACTGCTCAAATAGGAGAAAAAAAACCACATGAGTACTTAAATGAATACGACTGGCGGGGCAGCAACAGAGGGCGTAGGCAAGGGACGAAAAGTATTTACTTGGAGAGATTTGGCTGAGCCCGGAACTCCTTCAGCAAGGCTTCCAAACGCTCCGCTTGCGCCCGTTCAGCTGCACGCCGCTGCTGCTCCTCCTCGTGTCTAGAAAGGCTCACTAGCTGAAACGGAACAGGTTTGGTGCATGTCTTTGGAGTTGGTTTGTGCGGAATCTGCTTTCAAGACAGTCCAGGGTAGGAATGTAATTGTTCGGTGCAAGAAAATGATGGTAAGGATTTCACAAATAGTGATCGCTAACAAATAGGACCAGGCAGATTTAACTACTGAAGGTATAGCAGACAGAACGGAATACTTACAATTGGAGATTTGGTGGTATATGGCAGCGGTTGAGCCTTCGGGATTCGAGCTTCGGCCTCCTTCTGATCTCTCTCTATTTGCTCCTGAATCATCTTCATCTTCTTGGCTAGACCACGGTCCTGTAGCACCAAGTCCAGTCCGTTAGTAAAATACCTTGAACAATACGTCGTTTAATTTGAACGTCAAGCACACTTTCAAGTGAATACTACGTTTCCTGACCACTGCCTTCATTCGTTACATCAGATATCACTAATGCACTTGCGGAAATTGGCATGAAACGTACGACATGAAAGCATCCTCTGAAGGTCTGCACTTCACGAGACTCAGGTATGTCAGACTTACATCGGTAGCGAGATGGAACGGTTTCGGAGGTCTCGTAGGCTTGACAGCTTCGGAGGTAGGCTCCCGATTCAGAGTCAGCTGTTATAATGGCAGGAACACAGGGATGAGCTTGAGTACACACCAGGGAAATACGAATGTTAAAGCTTTCATAAGATCACATATAACGTTGACAGTCACGGTTATTATCGGCAAACCTTTTCGAAATCTTGCAGGGGTAGATTAGGACAGCGGACTTGGGCCCGTTGACCAGTTTGAAATCGGAACTCCTGGACAAGAGACAAAGGGACATCGATTCAGCTGTGATTCCGTGACGCAATTCGAGAACTAACAATCGTAGCTGGTGAGAGCAGCAATGAATCTCGGAAGGAAAAGTTAACTTACCACTGGCATGGTGACTTGACGCTTATGGTTACGGAGAAGTCCCAAGTCACCTTTACTTTTGAATATCTGTAGGACACCCGAGGGAAGTCAGTCGAAATGGTCCACAAATAGACTGACTGAACACAGACACTGCTTCACATGAATCATCATAAACTTCGAGAAACCCCGTACCCTTTTGTTTAGTGGACGAGCTTTAAACTTTGGGATTTTCGCAAGCTGCTCGGCCTCAATTTCTTCCGTGCTTTTGACACTGCGGGGAACATATGATCAGTCCGAAATACATAGATGGTAAGATGGATCCATGGACTGAAAGTCGAGAGGCAGAAGAGAGACTCACGATATTGGCCGTGCTCGTAGAGCTGTTTGAAGTCGTGGCGGCCGCACGTCAGCGAGGGAGCCTGTTGACCCTCCAGGAGCAGAGTTCCTCCTCTCCTTGCGTGCGACAGCCTGCAAAATCGCGTCACATAGCTGTCAAACTAGGGGTGGACTATTACGGGAGGAGGTCTGAGAGTGACACCACTGTACACAACCACCACAGCATCGGCCAATGTGACGAATGTGTTAATAGCGAATAATTCAGAAGGTAGTTGCGCGTTACCGAGTCAGTTTGGGCATCTTGCGAGGATGTCAACATCAAGAAAGCATGTTTGGGATTCTGCTGAGCTCGTTCCATGGTATGAAGGTGGAACTCCTGCGCGAAATAGATTCAATCAGAAAACCATACATATGATGAATAGCAGGCTGGGAGGGAATTAGAGCATGAATATGCCGGGTTCTTACGCTAGAGAAAGTTACCTGGAATTCAGGAACCTGGGGAGTAGATTTCTGTGCAAACGGTAGAGTTGGTGCCTCCAGAATCTACAGATGATCCATGAGAGATAGTTAAGTGAATGAGAAATCCTACCTCCCACTTACACATGAGAGCATGGTTAGTCCATTCAAATAAGCATGACTCTACGGCGTCTTTCTCACCTTTTTAGGCAGCGGACGGGCTTTAAACTTCGGTAAGTTAGCAATCATCTCCTCCTCGATTTCAGCTGTGCTCTTCATTCTGCATGCGCAAATCATTCATTTCATGTAAGTGAGTTATAAAGCTACTGATGAGGTCCTATGTATTCATTGCATTCGAAGTGAAGGACATTGAATCTTGCATACTTTGATGGACGAGTCCTCTGCATCGTCCCCAACTCAGGGGTTTTAGGCCTGGTGAGCTTCAGCTTGGGCTTCTCGAAATCCGCCAATTGAGAGCAACTGATTGTGGCGGGCAGCATGTGAAACCGCTCGGGGGTCTTTTGCTGAAACCTTTGAACGCGCTCTGCCATTGAAACGAAAGGAGAAGCTTCTCTAGCCATTTGCACAGAGATACATCTTTGCAGCACCTGTAGGATGGAAAGCATGATCAGAGAGGTGTTGGTTTCAGGAAGTGAGGAACTGGGCATTATCGACACATTCTGAGTGACTAGCGTGCGAGGTGCGTGAAAGACGGGGTGGGATTATACCTTGCCAGTAGAGTGGTCTCCATGCGCTCTTGCGTCCGTACAGAACCGAAATTCTTGAGGGACCGTCAATGCAATTTGGTTCTTCGGTTTCTCGTCTTGAGTGCTAGGCTTTACGACTTGGATCTGCGGAAATCGGTATTGAGTAGGTGATGGAGTGCAGTTCGGAGTCCATTCTAAACTACGAACCTCGCAAGCAAGATCGAGAACGAAGGAAGTAAACTACATATCTCATAAACAGATATTAGTTGATTAGAAAACCTACCTGCTTCAGCCTTCCCCCGTCAAGTTTTTGTTTCTTCCTCGCCCTAGTCTCTTCCAGTGCATTGGCCTCCCTCACCGCCGCCTTATTTCTTTTAGAGTTGTAGGATCGCCTGCAGAAAACTTCTTTAGTGACGGGCTGTATATCATGTATCAATCTGAGGCAGCGTGCATGTAAGTGTATGTGTTGATATACGCACAAGCAAACGTTAATAATCTCTTAGCACAACAGGTCACACAGACATGGTCACGGGTAATCACGATGGTTAATTGGGTTTACACGAAACATAGATCTTATAGATCCCTACCTGACAGCTGAGGATCTTTTCGGAGTAGTTCTAATTGGGTTTACACGAAACATAGATCTTATAGATCCCTACCTGACAGCTGAGGATCTTTTCGGAGTTGTTCTGGGCTTCTGTGTCTGGGTAGTTGCACTCGCAGACCAAGCCTCAGAGTACAGTCGCTTGGCAGGTAGGGGAGAGGTGACTAATGCCTGAATAGGGCTCACAGCAACACTGAATCCATGAGATACATGCTGACGAGCTGGAGTGCAAGGATCGGCCACGACATCGACTTCACCTGAAACATAAATATGGGATATGTCAATGGTGATATACACAACCTCTGGATACAGCCAAGAATTTGCACCACAATTCCCACTAGCATTGCTGTAGTGGTCGAATTCAGGGCGTACAAGGGTCCTGGACGTCAGATCGTCGGGGAAAGAAGGGGAAGTAGGTTACTGACTAGGCATATAAATAGGTTTAGTTTTGCTCGACAGCAAGGTATATAGCCGGAAAAAGATTATTTTCACCGCAATGCATTCATCAAACAGGCTAGTAAGATTATCTTACGTGCAACGTTTAGATCTACCAGTGCCTCTTCTAGGTCGGAAGACTGGTGCTCAGTGTTCGTATCGCCCTGCTTAATTGCCTGCTTCGGCGAAGGTGACACGTGAGCCAATATCTGCACATCATACCAATCAATTTTTGTCACTACTATTAAGTGGTACAGTTGAGCTCCCTGCACAGAAGCGTCAAGAGCTGATATGTAAATCTACCTAACCGAATGTCTGCCAGGATCCCATTCCTCACGAGGCTAATCAGAGACTGGAGTCCGTTAAAAATAGGGACGTATTAAGGGAGTAGAAGTTTGCGGTACCCTATACCTGTTGGGCTCCATTGTCGCTATTCTGACCAGAATTTTCCGCCGCAGTAATCAGCTCGGCGACTGATTTTGTTTTCGAAGCATGCGCTGAATGGACATGTGAAAACGTATTATTCCAATGTTATAAAACCGTCACAGAGGCGAATTTTCATGAAATAAGTGATGTATTAATTCGCACATTCTGGTTCAAGAACTCTAAAGAGAATGTGCCCGTCTCAAACGGGCCCTTGAGCCATGTCTACAACTCCTCGGAGAAGTTATCTTACAAGTCATAGAATACACAGAAATATTCGTACACTAAAGCAAAGTCCAACGGGTGAGGGTAGTACGTGAAGCTTCGTAAGGAATGGCATTGTTGAACCAGCTCTCGGCTAAGACAATATCTTCTTCAGTTTCTTCATAAGAAAAGTCATAGTACTTCGGAGCGCAGTACTCATATCTTGGTTCGATGATAGAGTAAACCGCAACGGATTCGACCTCTCCCTCCATCCTGTGACCTGATCCAGCCAGTGAGCATCCTTCAAATAGTCTACATTGTTTGCGAACATCACGTGTTCTTATATACGTTTTTTCGCACCAACATAGGTTTCAACATAGTTTTTGAAACGCTCGATATAGGTTGCTAGATTACCCGGGGCCATTTCTACCCTCAGTGCATTGGCTGATTATGAAACCGATGAGACAGATCAGCCGCACAGAACATGAGAAGTACTACATCAGCAGAACCTTTTGTTACTACAATTCGCTATTTGCACCATGATCTGGAAACACCAGTCGATTGTTAGCAGTCTCTTCTCTAATCTGAGCGCTTTGGAATAGCCACCTGGACGCCCGATACTCACGCCTGAAATTACGAACTTCTGGCGAATCAAAATAGTGGATTTAGACCCTACAGATAACAATTACTTTAGTTCGAACTGCGAGTCCGAACACAAGGGGTGCGAATTCATATCACCGGTTAAACTTAAACAGAAGATCTCTGCAATAATGTGCGCAATTTCACGTTGCGTCTTTATATAAAGGATAGAAGGCATACCTTAGAATTGAAGGTTAGACAGATTGGCGCGCTCGAAAATTGAGCAGATCAATAACTGCAGCTCAAAAGTACGAGAATGATATCGCGTTCAGGACGGAATTCTCAGAAAGACGGTGGAGGAGAGAACGGCGCAGAAACCGTGGTAACCAGGCAGTGGTTCAGCTTCCCCACTAACAGCATTGACTGAGCACGTGACAGGCAGGACTCGGACTGTGCGGTCCGGACCAAATCAGCCTTGCAGCAGGTAATTGAACGTGTTGAAAAATCTGGTGATTGATAGTTCGACGTAAAACGAATAGAGGAGGTAGAGTAGAAGGAGAAGGAGACTAAAAAGTAGGGAGGGCGAACCGCTATCAACTTACCTGAGTACAACACACCACTGGAAACCTACATTGACCTGGTGAGAGAATACCTAAACCAAGCCTCACACAATACCACCAACTCCCTCCAATTCCAAACAACACAGGAGAGCTCGACACACAGCAGCATACAGAAGGAGAAGAAGCGCGATGAAGATTCACGCCAATGTCAGAGACTCGGAGGAAGGAGAACCTAGAGAGACAGTTCCGTGCATAATGAGGAGGAGAATGCGAGGAAGAAATAAAGAGGTGAGGCGGAGATGAAAATAGAAGGGGCACCGGAGACAGACAGGAGTGAAGAGGGGGAGAGGAAGGGAGAGAGAGTTTGGGAGAGAATTCAAACAGAGACGTGGAACATAGAGGTGAAGGAGCAATGGGGCTTTTACACCGAGCAGGGAGTGCAAGCAGGGCCCGGTTGGTCCCGTCTTAGTCTTTCTTTCCTTCTTCTTCTTCGGTCTCCCAACGGCTCTCCCACTAACGGTCCATCCTGGGAACGTCGCGAACCACGAGGAACTTCTTGCGAACCTCTCCACGTGGCTGGCTGGCTTCGGGGGAGGTGGGGGAGGGGGGTGATTTATTTGGTTTCTACAGACCAGCCATGTCTGGTCTGGTCTGTATGAATGAATGGATGACTGAATGTGTGATTCCAGCGCTGGACCTTCTCAGTGTCGATACGGGGTTACATGCTTTTGCACTGTCTGAAAAGGGCTACGTCACGATGAACTTATCATTTAACGTGTTCACACCGCGCACAAGATGTCTAGAGTGCCCAATCTGCTTAGGGTTTCATTGGTTATTGAATCACGGACTTGATCCTTGTTATTTTCACATTTAACTAAAATTATTCATGTAGTACTTTGGGATGATTTATATTGGATTGTTTAACACTTATAAATTTTGATGAATGATATTAATCCACAAAGATGTCATCATATGTTTGGCATCTACAACTAAGATGCATCAATTACATGTCAATTTCTTATTCTATTAAAGAATTATTTTCCTCATATACGGTTGTGTGTATATGTATTTTCATTTTATTTTATTTTATACTAAACCACTCAACACAATCGCATGTACAAACATCTATTAAAATATTAAAATATACATCTTTAATCCTTAACCAATGCAATAAAATATAATTTTACAAATTTAAATGAGCTTTATTAGTATTAAAAATATTGAAGCAATAAATATTCTTATGAACATAAGTTATTGAACTATCACTATATATTTTATTCTTAGTATAATTTCAAATCAAATTGGATTGAAAACTTTAGTTGTAGATATTGCAATTAAGTCAACATTTTGATAAATTTGAATGCAATGTTTTTGTACCTTATTATAATAATAAATAAATAAATAAAACCATGTGAAAGATGCACAAAATATAAATTATATATAATCTAATTTTGCTTAATCTATCAACATGTCTATTAAAAATAAAATGATCAAATAGAAACAATAAAGTTTATATATTATTTTAAAAATATCATTAATATTAGATTATAAATAAATATATTTTAAAAAAACTCAATTTATTTAATATATTTGATTTAAATTAAAAAATTAACTATAAATAATTTTTTTAATATAAAACTTCATTAACTTAGTATATATTTTTTATATTGCAATTGAATTAGTAGTTATGTTAGTACATTCAGATCTCATGATAAAAAAATATTCCTAATAGATGACTATTTCTTACAACTACAAACATTATTATTTTTTAAAATAAAACTTGTGATCTTTTTATTTTATACAAATCACAAATTATTTTACTATTGGCTTTAGTTTCTTCAAAACATATAAAGTTGCTATATTAAATCTACATCATGGCTTTGATTCAAGGACATGAAACAAAATAATAAGAACTTTAAAACACTCTTGTGAAAAATAAATACTTACTCCAAAAGTAATATAATATTAAAACTAAAATGACTATTGTCAAAAATAAGAAGAGTCTAAATTCTTAAAACTAGCCTAAGAACAAAAAAACCATTAACAAGAGTGAACAAGATTTTATTTTTGCCTCCATATATACTATCTAACTAGAAGCTATATGGCAATGTTTTATAGGCCTCTAACATGTGTTCAGATTGCAAGAGACATATCTTACCTTATAAGACAAGTTTTCTATATATATGTCATATAGTTAGCTTATTCCATAAGTTATCAACACTTATAACACATAGCTAACTTGTTATCCAAGTTTCTAACCTGCAAACATGTATTAAGTCAAAGCTATGTTTATAAAGCTTCTAAGAAGCTTTTCTAGAAGATGTTATGAAATTAATCTATTTTTACTTACTTTTATTTAATCATATAGATAATTATTGGAATAAATATGTATGTATATAATATTACCTTTTCTTTTAGAGGCAAGTTCCACAAAGACCGGTCATCATATGTTGAAGAAATCTAAGATGCGACAAATTGTGTTTCTTATATACTTTGATCTTTGTTCTCTTCAAAGATAGTTAATAGGTCTTTTTAGCCATTGATAGTATCATATACTATGGTGGTGCCAAGAAAGCTAGGATCCTCAAGAAAACACAAGTTCTTTGATTGTAAGTGGGTTATAAGAAAGTACAATATTGATCCAAATGAATCCAAATATAGAAAGGCAGTTCAAAGGCTTATTGAAGAAAGAGAAGTTAGATGCCACAACACTTAGCATCAATAAGGTTGCATACAAAGTGAAGTGTGGAATAAGATGACTCTCACTTCCAACACTCTTTACTTATAATTAGAATCTTCATCCACAATCATATTCATTCTTCTTTGCTACATCCAACTAAACCCAAAATTCTTCTTAACCTAGGTGCAACTAAAATCCTAGCCACTGCTATAGTAACTACTTTTAATCTTTTATTATTTTTTGACTATTAGTAATTTATAATAGTTTAATTCTATATAGTAGCAATTATACAAGATCTTACTAATCTTCAACACTTCGATTTTGCTAATTGTCTAAAGGATTTCAAGCCTAATCTCTCTATTAATTCATGGAGCCTATCTATTACTAATATTTTTATAAGCACATCAGCAAGTATGTCTTTTATGGCACAATACTTCATATCTATTATTCCATCTTCAATTTGTTTTCATATGAAATAATGTTGAATATTAATATGCTTAGTTCTTCAATGGTACTTTGGATTCTTAGGAAAAGTAAGACATCCTTGATTGTCACAAAATATAAAAATTATTCCAATTGCACTAGTCTAATGTCTTCTAAAGAGTTGTCTTATCCAACATGCTTCCATTGCACAATGACTTGTTATTGTATATTCAGCTTCTATGGTTGATTTTGCAATGGTAGGTTGTCTCTTGCAATTCTATGAAATGACTCTCATTCCAATAAAAAATATATATTCCATTGTGGATCTTCTAACATTTTTATCTTTAATTCAATCTACATCACAATAACCTTGCAAATCAATGTTTTTACCACCAAAGTACAATATGAAGTTTTTTTTTACCTTTTGAATATTTCAATATTTTTTTTATCATTGCCAAATGCAAAGGTCCTGCCTTAAATATATGTTGGCTTACAATACTCATACTAAATACAAGATCAATTCTTGTAGCCAGTATTATATACATAAGTGAGTCTAGTGTTGTCTTATATAGAATTCTTTACATTTTATCTTCAACTTATACATACTCTTCATCCATTGTTGGGATAGAGAGAGTTTGCCTCAAAAAAGTATTGGGATTCTACCTACCACTAAATCTTCAATCAAATCTAAGATATTAAAGTTCTAAGTTTATATATATATATATATATTATATTTTTTTTAGGACAATTACATCAAAACATAAGCCGAAGTACAAAAAAAAACATCCAAATATATGATAAAATATCTTAAAACCTTATATATCCTTATAGAAATTTTTTTCTAAACTTCAATACTTCATATCTTATGATCTAACTATCTAAAAATACTAAAATATTACATGAAGTATTGATATACTTTCAACAACTACCAAAACAAATTTCAACTATAAATTTGTTATCGATCTTGAGATGTTGCCAAAACCCTAATACTAGCTTCAGATCCTTATTTACATACATCCACGTGTAATCTTCTTCATATCTCACAAACTAAGTATTCAAATACCATGAAACTTTGATCTAAAGCTTTTCAACCTAATAACATACATTTGTGGAAATTTTGAGCCAAAATTGATAGTAGGTATGAAATTGACACCTTCACTTTGAGAGCCTATAACTCCTTCATGTATCCAAAAATCTAAACTTGTTGATTCTAGCATCCAAAGCTCAAATGATCTTGTAATAGAAACCCTAATTCCTTGTAAGGCCTTAAAAAACCTCCTTGAAGCCCATTGGATATAACATTCAATCAATAGGAATGAAGATTTTTATCCCTTACCTTCATCCAATCATACCTTGCTTTCATCCTTTCCAATAAGTCTCCTAATAGTTTAGACTTTCATCTTTAGACTCCAATCTTTTCTTAAGCTTTATAGTAAATATCTAAATCTTATATAATATAAATACTATAATCAAAATAGATAAACTTCTAAATAAATTTTCTTATATCAATTTTCTTTAAATTTGCTTGTTAATCACTTTAATCCACATTAAGATTTATAAAAATAATATATATTTTAATTAATTTTTTATATACTATAAGCAACTACAGTACACTATTGTGAGCTTTATCAACTTCAAATTGGTTTCCAAAGTTGTTTCAGTGGACTTGCACTCCTCTATATTAAATCCTTTCTATATTTCTTCAATGTGTTTGATTTAGCTCATAGTAATGGTCTTGTTATCATGATCTCTTACAAATTTTGATCCTAAGCAATAATAGAGCTCTCTCAAATTATTCATCCCATACTCTTTTTTTAATATGATCTTCATCTAATTTATTTTTTTCATATTATTAGCCAAGATGATCAAATCATCAATATAGAGAATTACAATTAGCAAAAATTCTTTATATTGCATTGTATATAATAAATGATCAACCTCACTTCTTACAAATCTTTTATTGATAAAAAAGTATATCAATATATTTGTACCATGCTCTTGGTGATTGTTTCAATCCATACAAGGATTTTTTTAACTTATATATGAGATATTTTTTGCCTTATTTTATAAATCCTTAAAATTGGCCTATATAGATGTCTTCATATAATTCTCCATTCAAAAAGGTTGTCTTTACATCCATTTGATACATTTCTAAGTCCATTACTATCTTAATTGCTACAATAGATCTAATGAAAATGAATTTGGCAATAAGTACATAAGTCTCATTAAAAACAATACCAACAACTTATAAATATATTTTGGCAAATAATCTTCCCATATACCTCATAACCACATCCATCACATCTCTTTTAGTCCTAAATCCCCACTTACAACCAACACTAGAT